TTATGGTGAGAGCTGTTTATTTTCGATTTAGAAGGATTTTTGAGTTGTTGAATCCACAGGATTTCCTTTGGTGTCCAACACTTCCTTCTTTACATCAAACTGCCTTCCTTCCTTTTTTTGATCAAATTCTTCCCCACGACAACCTGTTGTTCCTACAATTATTTCATAACACAGGGCATGAGCGGTAACGCAGGTGGTGAGTAGCTGCGACGCATTGTCATCGTTTCCGATAGGCATCTCTCGATCACGTCGCAGTTTTCTTGAGTTTTTTTCAGTTCAGCGTCGTTTCTCCTCGTCTCTATTACGTGAACGAACACATTCTCCAACATACACACAGCAATTTCGAGTGCATTCCAGACGATTCGTCGATGAAAATGGTTCCTGAACCCGCTGGCGCTTTGGCGACAATGATGGCGTCGCCAGAAGCGTCACCATCGACGTCAAGGGACGAATGTTGGTATATGGAAAAGGCTGGCCGTTTGTTTGGTTACGATGAGATTATCGCACCGTGGGCCACAAAGCGTTATAATCTATCGATAGAGGGGTAAGTGTCCTCTTCTAAGTATCCTTTCACTCACTCACTTCTACCCACTCTCTGCTTGGAGCAACATGTATTTCCGGTTTTTTCCCATCACCAACACATCGTGGAGAGCACACGCGCGTACAGGTGGAAACACTGCATGCTGCATGTGCTCTCGTGCGCGTTTCGGGGTGAGAAGAAGTTGTTTGTTCGCATTTTTGAATACGCATCCTGTTTGCCTGATGATGTTTGGCATCTGGCCAGTGTTCGGTTTTCCAACGGTTCAGGGAGGATTTTCGCACATCATTGGGTACGAGGGCGGCTGCGGCTGGAATTTCTGGAAAATAGCGAATCTTCTTATTTACGACTAGAATTGAAAACGTGGATGACCTTAGCTGGGGTGTCGAAGAAGGATTATCCTAAGCAGTGGGGTGAGGAAGAAATGGCTTGCTGTACTGTTAGACTTTATTCTAGAAGTTTTTTCTCTATTCTGTATTCGACTAACTCTATTGTGTTTTCTTTCTAGTTTCCTATCGCTCTCGACCGTTTGAGCTCGCTGGGAGCAATCTGTCCCAGGTCTATGTAGGGTAATTGAAAACGATTAAATTAATTTCTTAATCGATCTCTGCTCCGTCTTTTACAATTACTCTTTGAAAATCGTAAAAGCTTACTCTCAACATTGAAACTGTTTATTCAACTCACTCTAATTTAATATGCTATTTTAATAACGGTTTGAGCATAGATTAACCCTTGCTTCTACCAGCCATCTTTCCAGTCGCTTCTGTTTCACTGCGATCACTAGCTAATCATGAAGCCTAGAGCCATGCACCTTTGTGTAATTTTGCGCAGGGCTAAGAACATTCAGCGCCAAGAGATTGTGATAAATATTCGCATATTGGATTTTGCGCTGTCTGAGTTGGATATCTCCGTAATTTGGTCTGACATATTGCAAAGAGTG